ATATATATATATATATTTTTAATTCGGTCTTGATTAGACTATCTTTAGTAACTTTATAATCAAATCGAAAAATAATTACAATAAAATTGAATGATTATTACATGAAAAATTATCTAAATTACGAATGCGATCAATTGTTATTACGATAAAAAAGTTTAGATTATGATAATTACATAAAACCGTTCGTAAGATTATAATTAGATTAATGTAAATATTTATTATGATGTAGCCTTCTATGTCATTTATTGTTGAAAATTAATTTAGCTTGTGACACGAAGCACAATTTCCAGATTTTATTACGCCAAAAATTAAAAAAAAACAGTGTACAAATTAAAGATAGTTATTATAGACAAAATGAAACAGTATTAAGTTTATTTCCTTGATGTTTAATAAATTAGTTTTAAATTTTGACCTAATTTTCGTTTCATTCGTTTTATGTTGATCTCTTTATAATTATTATTTTACAATTTTGAACTTGACATTTGTTAAAGTAAAAAAATGTAGTAAACTTTTTTTTTAATAGTAACTTTTATTTTTTCCAATGGTTTTATTAAAAAATTATTTACAAAAGATTATATATCGTTGCATTACACATCTTACAACAAAGATTTGATACATTATACATATCTCTTCCTCTATTATCTCCGGAATCCAATCCAATTATAATTGACAATTTAAACGTAATAGAAAGATATACCTGTGTTGCTTCGTGCGCGAGATTTAACGATTTCGAGGTTTTTTACGGGTATCCGAACTGGTTAAAGCCAAGACTTATCTGCAGCGAAATGCTGCGTTCGAAACGACTCGCGAGATATTCGACGAAATAATATCCCGACGGTGCAGGGAGGGTGAAGGGAGAGGAAAAGTGCCGGCGATGCTGGGTAAGCGGGCTCCAACCCCCATTCATCTTCGGCGCTCGTTCCGGCCGAGGATAACGTTATTTCTACCGTAATACTTCTGTCGGAGAATCGCCCAGCGGAAAAAGCAGTTCGGTATTGCAGCTGCTGGCGCACGCGTACTTCTCAGTTCCTCGACAAATGGCAATAACGACGTTAATAGCGCGCCGAATCGTGAAGGGAAGGGATAAAAGGAGATTTCGAGGATCCTCCGTGGATATAAACGGAGATGCGAAACTCTCCGTGATCCTACTGGATTATGATCGATGCGGTTTAATGATTAGCGAAGATCTTAATTCCAGAATCTTATATATATTTCGCGTACCTCACTTTTCAATTCTTAAAAGATAACGAAGAATAATGATACATTGAAAAATATGATGGATGGATTTAATTTTTGTTTATATAATTTTCATCGTTGATGTTAATAGAAATATCTGATGTGAATTTTTAATATTATGATTTGAAACATGATAATTAAATTTATGCCATGTTGTGTCTGCATCAACACAAGAAAAATTATATTTAACACTTTTGGTGTTAAATCCATATTCATATTTTTTTAAGTGGATTAAGAAATAAAAACAACGCGATATTCGTGAAATGTGAAAAGATTCTATGAATTAAGAATGAATGCTTGAGCGAATTTTTAGGGTTTTCAATTTAAATCGATCTTAACGCATTTACAGATAACATTATGCTAAAATCAGTTAATAACATATTTACATATTTTTTTTAATAATAAAGAGTGAGATTTTTAAATTTTGTTATAATATAATGTTCCTAACAACACTTTTATCCCACCTTTTCTTACAATTCATTAAAATATTACAAATATATAAATACTTTTATGAAGATTATAAAAATGATTTTCTTATAAAAGTTTTTCTTATAAAAGATTATAAAAATAGACGAAGATATAAATACAAGGTATGTAAAAATATTCTACACGAGATTATACATTATGAATAATCTAACTTGTGTTTAAAAAACGCATGCTATTTTAAGAAAACAAAGAGCGATCGATAGAAATCGATCGCTCTAATTATCGTGAGATTGGCAAAGTAACGCACTTTCGTGATCATATCCGCAAATATTGAAAAACAGATCAAACTGAACGAGATTCGAAAGATAGAGAATACGCATCAGAAGAGCAGAATGAGAAATAATAAGTGCGCGCAATCGTCGAAGTGTAGCATAGTCGCGGTAGTAGACGTTGACGGGATTTCCCAGAGAAATATATGACGATATACTCCCACGCCCCCATTCGACGAGCCCAGCCGAGACGAGCCACCAGAGCAACTGCCACCCACCCACCTATCCACCGCCCAGCCAGCCAGCCAGCCAGCAGCGAGCTAACCACCCACCTGCGTTAGCCGCGGTCGCCGCTGACGCTGACGCTGAAGCCGCCGCCACCGTCGTTCGGTCGTGTTTAAAGCTCCGCCAGTAAAACAATAAATTGCGCTCGAGAGAGCGGTAGAACGCAAGAGAGGGAAAGAGAGGGTGGTAAAGAGGATGAGAGTGAAAGAGAGGCGAGAGTCGCGGCGTACTAGCGCGGAGGAAAGCGGTCCCTGTCAGCAATTGCCCCCCTCTCGTAAGAAAAAATGGCAGCTGCCGTGGCTGGATGGCGCATACGAGACCATAATACCGCCACCCTACCTCGTTCTGTACGTGTGGACGTCGAGCGTGCAGCGAGAGGGCGACGGGTGGGGCGGGTTGCTACGTTTGGGAGGGGCGGGAAGAGGAGAGGGTGAAAGGAAGAAGCATGAGGAAGAAGGGACAAGGACGCGAGAAAGAGAGAAAGAGAGAGGGAGGAAGGGAAGTGGAATGAGACAGACAGTGTGGAAAAAAGCGACGTAGAACGAGGAGAGACGACCTGGGTGAGCAGCGACGACTATGATGACTACGATGATGACGAAGACGACGACGAGGACGAGGACGACGGCGGCGACGACCACCACCGGCTGACTAAGAGAGAAAGAGAGAGAGAGAGAGAGAGAGAGAGAGAGA